GGTGGCTGGCCTGCCCTGTCTGAACCCCCACCCTGCAATTATGAAACTTTCAAGTGAGAAACATTGCAGGGGAGGGGGGAGGTTAAACTGGAAATCCCTTGAAATTATAGATATGAAACACTGAATTCTGACAAGCCGGTTTGTAGGACGTAGCTTGTTAGTACATCGTCACTGGGGCCTCCCTGACACTCGACTGTCTCTTTCTCTGTCTCTCCCGACTGGGGCCTCCCTGACACTCGACTGTCTCTTTCTCTCCCTCTCCCTCTCCCAGCCTACTGCCTCATTTCATTCTGTGCACTAGGGATGTGAATGGTTAACCCATTAACTGGTTATGGTTAACTGGTGGTCAGGGCTGACTGAACTAGCCCACCTGCTCTGATGAAGGCAGAGGACTCTCTAACCCAGCTGACCCACCCCACCATGCCCCCACCCACCTCTATTTAAGCAGTTAACCGGTTAAACATGATGTTTAACCAGTTAACCAATTAAACAGGATTTTACATCCCTACTGTGGGCATCACTCAGAGAGTCAGCTCTGCCAAAGTGTTCACAGTTTGTGCCTAGCTCGGATTTCCCCAGCATTCATTTCAGGGAGCAGCTAGGAGATGATGGAACGCCAGCCGAGGCTTTACCAAAACCAGGTTCTCTCCTCCACCTTTGTGATGCATCTGCCTCCTGACCCTCACCCTCCTCCCTCTGCTTGCAGCCTTTTCATTTGGGCAACCCCTACGAACAAGATATGGGCCACCACCAAGAGAGAGAGAGAGAACGCGGCTGTTTGACAAGCGAATTCCCAGGAAGCAGGCAGTGTGATTATTATCCTGAACAGGGAAAAACTCTCCAGCCCTGCAGGATGGAGGAGTAGCTGCAGATGAGGTTTATTGACATGAAATGCTAATATATGGTAAGGATTGAAACATAGTCCCGGTCTTCTCTCCCTTTGCTGCTTCTTTCAGCACTGCCTGGGGCTCCCTTTTATTTTCCTGAGTCCTGACTTTACTAATTGTATCCCGACGTTGTCTCATGGCCTGGTCTTGTATCCGTGTTTTTGTGAAATCAGGAAAGATTTATAACAAGGGTGGGCAACCTTTCCTGTGTCGGGGGATTGACCCAATAAAAATTGTATTGGTGGTCCACATGGGTTCACTTCACCGGCCCAAAGAGAGAGACAGCAACTCGGGGTTACTCCCTCCATCGGGGCAAACCATGGCTCCTAGCTTCAACCCTGGGGGCAAGAAGCCCTGAGCTCCTGCAGAGAGTGGGAGAGGAAGCCCCAAGACTCAGTGCTCCCCCATGGGGCTGTAGCTGCAAGCTCTGGCTCACCTTGAGCCTCCACCCTCCCTCAGTGGGTGAGTTGAACCTGGGTGGCCCATGGGCCAGATGAAAATGAACAAAGCTCCCTACCCTTGATTTAGAGGCTGCTGGGTTGGGCCCGGGATCCTGGAGAGACGCAATACTTATCCAATAAGTAGGATTTGAATTCAACTGCTGTATAGGAAGTTGAGGGATTGTGTGTAACACATCACAGGTGGTGCTCTTGGAGAAAGTGAAAACAGTCTTTTTCTTTCCCCCCTTTTTAGGGGGCTGAGGGGCTTTTAAAACATAGATTCATAGCTTATGAGGCCAGAGGGAGCTGTTTGTGACCACCTAGCTTGACTTCCTGCTAACACAGGCCATAGGCCTTCTATGAATGAAACCCTCTAGCTCACAGAGTAAATCTTTTAGAATAAAGCATCCAATTTTGATTTTAAAATGGCCAGTCATAGAGAATCTTCCACAGCCTGTAGTAAATTGCTCCATGATACCACTGGGGTAGTGTTCTAGGTGCTCCCCCAAGGCAGATTTTGCCATGGTGCTCTGTAATCAGCCTAATTGAATAGAGAAGACAGGACTATGCAGCACTTTATAGACTAACAAGATGGTTTATTAGGTGATGAGTTTTCATGGGCCAGAATTCCTCTTATTAGGTGATGAGTTTTCATGGGCCAGACCTCCTCCTCCTCAGATCAAATTGTGGAAGAAAATTGGCATGATATATACCAAATTTTCTTCCACAATATGGTCATGCCAATTTTCTTCCACAATTTGATCTGAGAGAGGAATTCTGGCCCATGAAAACTCATCACCTAATAAACCATCTTGTTAGTCTTTAAAGTGCTGCATAGTCTGGTCTTGCTGAAACAAAAGACAGGACTAACACGGCTACATCTTTATTATAATTGAATAGAGATGAGAGTTGCTGAGACCCTACTCACTAGAATAACTGCTCCCCAATGCCATTGTTTCTGTAGGGTTGCTCCTCTGTATTTAATATGAGTGTGGCTATTCTTGCTCTATTTTATCCAAATTAGCTCGAGCTAACAGCTAGGAAAAAGGCACCTGTGTTCTTTGGACTAACACGGCTACATCTTTATTATAATTGAATAGAGATGAGAGTTGCTGAGACCCTACTCACTAGAATAACTGCTCCCCAATGCCATTGTTTCTGTAGGGTTGCTCCTCTGTATTTAATATGAGTGTGGCTATTCTTGCTCTATTTTATCCAAATTAGCTCGAGCTAACAGCTAGGAAAAAGGCACCTGTGTTCTTTACGGATGCACTCTCTCTCTCTCTCTCTCTCTCTCTCTCTCTCTCTCTCTCTA